TTATACATATTTTTCTGAACCTTAGATAGAATCACTTTTAATGGTTGTTCAGGGTTCCATTGAATACAATAAATTATATAAGCAGTCATCTATTGTTAATTTGATTTTTTCCCCAGTATTTTGATACTATACACAACAGCGCACATCACATTCTTATACATATATCTTTATATAATTGACATATTATTTCCTTAGGATAAATTCCTACAAGTATAATTATTGATGCAGTGAATATATATATTTGAATTTTTGATGATGTATCATTTAGCTACCATTCAGAAAAGCTATACAGATTCATGCTTCTATCAATATACTGTATATACATACATCTGTTTCCACATCCCCTCACTAATGCTATAAAGTATTTAAGTATTCTTTTTTATCTTTGAAGCTTTTGTAAAGGAACATGATGAAATACTGACCACTTTACTATAGGCATTTTGCAGAGTTAGAAGTAGAGGATTTGAACTCCTCTACTAGTCTTCTGACCAATTTCTAATGAAGAAAAGTGTATCTTTGTGACAAGGATTTTGTACTCTCCTTAAATCACAATATTGTGTCCACTGAGAAAATTCCTTCATTGCCCAAACTTTACAAAGGTTGTTTTGGCTATGAAGATACTTATTTTATGATCCTAGTAACATTTTCATTTTTGGACTTACCTAAAAAACTAGTAAGGTGTAATGAACATGGTATGTCTGAAGACTAACACATTTGGAAATTAGTGTGTATCAGGTACTTTGCTCATCTTAATCTTCATATTATTTTGTGATTATCCTATATTAAGGAAAATTTACTAGAAACTTTCTGGCTTTGTAGACAATGTAATAAACTATTCACAGTGGTATACTTGTATTGAGAATTTCTGTGCTCTTGACTATGTTTTAAAACTATTAATCAGTGGATTAAGTAGAATAAAATTACAAATTCTTTTTCTTCTTTCATGATGCAGAGTTCTCCAAAACACCAGTGGGGAGAAGAGGAACCAAATTCTCAGACGGTAATAAATAATTTGCCCTCTCTGGGTATACACTGAAATTTTTCATTTCTGATGGCCGATAATAATAATAATTAATAATATCTTTTAAAGAACACAAGTGACAGGAAAGGAAAATTAGAACTAGATGCTGCTCTCTCTTTTTCTTAATATTTTTCCTTTCTCCTTCTTTCAGGAAAAAGATCATAATAGTGAAGATGAGGATGAAGATAAATATGCAGATGATATTGACATGCCTGGACAGAATTTTGACTCTAAGAGACGAATTACTGTACGGAATCTTAGGATTCGAGAAGATATTGCAAAAGTAAGTCTTGCCAACTTAACATACACATTTGAAAAATATTTGTCTTCCTAGCCTAAATTTTATCTATGGATAATAGAGTCATTCCAGGATAAGGTATCATTCTGGCTTGTCTCTTCACCTGTACCCCAGAAACTCACACACATTTAATTGATCATGTTCAACTCCTCTACTAGTCTTCTGAGATGTTTTTCACTGTGAGTAAACATTAATTCATTCTTCAAACATTTTTTTCTTCTAGTATTTAAGGAATTTAGATCCAAATTCTGCCTATTATGATCCAAAAACTAGAGCGATGAGAGAGAATCCTTATGCCAATGCTGGAAAAAATCCAGATGAGTAAGTATCAAGTTAAATTTACAGATTTCAAGATGAGGGAAGTTAATTTTTTCCTGACCCAACCATAGATGGTCTTCATTTTAATTCAGATTCAGTTTTACAAATTAGTTTTCCTTAAATCAATCTCTGAAACAATTTTTTAAAATTTGTATTTACAGAGTGAGTTATGCGGGAGATAACTTCGTTAGATACACAGGAGACACGATTTCAATGGCTCAGACACAGTGTAAGTGTTTCTTTATGGCAAGACATATTAGCTCATAAGAAATTGGGGATTGTTTTCAATAAGCATGCAATAATGTAGTTGGCAACTCATTAAGATGTTTTGAATTACTCTAGTGTTTGCTTGGGAAGCTTATGACAAGGGATCTGAAGTACATCTGCAGGCAGATCCTACAAAGCTAGAGCTGTTATATAAGTCGTTCAAAGTCAAAAAAGAAGACTTCAAAGAACAGCAGAAGGAAAGCATCCTGGAAAAGGTAATTTTGACCAAAATGCTAAAGAACAACTTTCCTTAAAGAGAACTTACAAGTAATGAGCATTATTTACATTTGGAATATACTACAAAGAGAGCCCCTCTTTATTTTCTCTCTGTTTTCTTCTATTTACTTATTTTTTTCTTTCTTTTTTTCTTTTCCTTCATATCAAAAGAAGTTGAGAGAGCCCCTCTTAATTGGTGAAGAATAGTCCTTTCCTTCCATTATTTTAGTTGGTATACACTTCGTATCAGTTAGCTTTTGCAGCAAAACACACCACCTCAAATCTTAGTAGTTTGAAATAAACACTTATTATTTTTCACAATTCTGTATGTCAGCTGGGTCTCCTGGACTGGGCTTGCTCAGCTGAGGCTGGATGATCTAGGATGTCCTTACTCATGTTTAGCAGTTAGCAGGCTAATTGTCCTCACCTGGGACAGCTCATCTCTGCCCCACGTGATCTCCTATTCTCTGATAGGCTAACCCAGCATTTTTACTTGGCTTTCTCATGGCTCCAGAGAGTAGCAATAAAAGTACGCCACAGTACATGAGTGCCTTCATTTGCATCACATTTACCACCTTCCCATTGGCCAAAGCAAGTAACATGGCCAAGCCCCGATGCAAGAGAGAGAGAACCAGACTCCATCTCTTGATGAGAGGAACAGCAGTGTGACAAAAGGACGTGTATTCAAAGATAAAAGGAATTTATGGCCATCTTTTTATTTTATTAATTAATTAATTTATTTATTTATGGCCATCCTGCAACCTACCACACTCAACAGATGAATAGCAACTGAGACATCATTTATTTGCCTGTGAAAATTTGGTCGTTTTTCTTTCCACTGTGCTTTCTATAACAATGCCCAGTAAAGAATGTTCCCTTTTCTTTCTGATTAGAAATAAAGACTTTCATAGAGATTTAAATGCAAATCTTTGTTGTAAAATATATTGAATAGTGTCCAATGTCCTTTTAGTATGGTGGCCAAGAACATTTGGATGCCCCTCCACCTGAGTTGCTTTTAGCCCAGACTGAAGACTATGTGGAGTACTCAAGACATGGGACAGTCATCAAAGGACAGGAGCGGGCTGTTGCCTGCTCTAAGTATGAGGAGGATGTGAAGATCCACAATCACACAGTATGTGTTAAACTAGAACTATTTTGTGTCCTTGTTAGCTTTGTTCTGTATTGTATTTTTCTATTACAATTCCATTAGCTAACCATTGCTATCCTGCTTTTCTTTCTTAAAACATTTTAATTTTGTTTCATGGAATTTTACCAAAAATAGGAAAAATTTGAAAGGCTATTACTATGCTCAGTGTTATACTCAGCACTAAGATTCAAAACTTGTTAACATGGTGCCATATATGCTTTGTCTAAGTGGGTATGTATGTGTGCATGCTGATATGTATATATATACACACATACATATATATACACAGTATATTTATATATTTTTAACTAAAACATTTGGAGATTACAGATATCATATTTCATCCATAAACATTTTATCACATATCTCCTAAAAATAAGGACTTTCTCCTATGTAACCACATTACCATTATTGCACTCCAGAAAATTAACACTAATTGCTTTTTTCTTTAACAACTTAAGTAATGACTAAGAATAATTCCTTAATATCATCTAATATCTACTCCTTAATCACATTTTCCAAAATATACACAAAAATGCCTTCAGTAGCCTTTTTGTTTGTTTTAGTCAGAATCTCTTTGAAGTTTATTTTGATCATTATTTGGTTATTATGTCTGTCTTCTAGAGTGTATCTCCCCATTTTCATGACAGTGACCATTTAACAGATCAGGCCATTATATTGTAAACTGTCTCATATTCTGTATTTGACTGTTTCCTAGTAGTATCATATAACTTATTCTTCTATCCTCCATATGTTCTATAAACAGGAATTCAGGTCTAAAGGTTTGATTGGATATAAGTTAAATATTTTGACAAGAATACTTAGTGGGTGATACAGTACCTTTTATGTTGCATCACATCATAAAACATATATTGTCATTTGCTGTTGTCTTAAAGTAACCAAATTATAATTGTCTAAGTTGGGGGTAAAAAAACCTAACTACCTATAGGATTCAGGCCAATGATCATATATGAGTAAAGTGAGCCAGGCAAACTACAAACTGGAGAACACAAACCCTGTCTAATAGGTACATCTACTGTTCAGCAACAGCCAATATTGCCAAGTGGGAATATGGGCTCAGAATTTCCCACTCCATAATTTTTCAAGAGAAGTCAAATATCCCACATGTTTTCATTGGCTTTTGGGAATGGAATTTGCAACCTTTTAACTGCAATGCCTGCTTCTTATACTTGAGGTTGGGCCACCCTCTTCCTGTTAGCCAGTCCTTGAATCCCCATAATTTTTCTCCCAAATTACTTTTAAAAGGGCTGTATTATTTTATGCTCCTGTCAACAGTATATGAAAGTTCCTAATTTTAGGTCCCTTTTTAAGTAATTTCTCTCTCTCTCTGTAGCATATCTGGGGATCTTACTGGAAAGAAGGCCGATGGGGATACAAATGCTGTCACTCTTTTTTTAAGTATTCCTATTGCACTGGAGAAGCTGGGAAGGAGATTATTGTAAGTAATTGTCCTTTGGTTCTTAAAAACATAAAACAACCAAAGCTCCTAAGTCAAACTGTATGAATCGTATTTTCTCATGTTTCAAATTTTAACTTTTTCTTAGATGATTGGTAACTGCAACACTCAAATTTACATATTATTTTCCCACAGAATTCAGAGGAAAGTATTATAAATGACATAACTGGGGAAGAATCTGTAAAAAAGCCTCAAACCCTCATGGAGGTAAGTCTATATTCATTTGTCCTAAATTTTTAAGACCTGGAGGGAGAACTTTAAAACTTGCATTATAGCTTTGTTTTCACATTAATAACACTGTATTTCAATCTTCCCTCTCAGCTACATCAGGAAAAACTAAAAGAGGAGAAGAAGAAGAAGAAGAAGAAAAAGAGGAAGCATCGAAAGAGCAATTCAGATAGTGATGATGAAGAAAAGAAACATGAAAAATTGAAAAAGGTACTTTGTGAAGTCTAAATAGTAAAAATGACAAATAGCATTATTCTTTACTTGTAAGGACCTTAGGAAATGATCTATTCATGTCTCCAAACTCATTTTAAAAATGATGAAAGGAGTCCAGCCAGAGTCTGGTTGATTTGCCCAGATTATATTAATAGAGATTTTGCAGGTCTAGGTATTGCCTTCTTCTTAGAGTATTTAATAAATAACACTAATGGACAGAAGAAATGTGCTCTTTGTAAAACTGTTTTAGAGTAATTGACATGTTGCCCAGGAAGAATTGCCTTCTGGCTCCATAATTTGTAAGTTTCGGCAAGCCCTTGAGGAAAAGTCAGAATTGCAGTCTCTACCAGAAGCATCAGTTGTGGGCTTAAGTCAGTAAAATGAACCTCCTGTAGTTTTTGTTATTAAATAAAATTTCTTTAACATTGGCTAAAAATGTCATAGAATGTTTTGTGCTCTCTGAAAATATATGAGCCAAATAGTAATTAGCTGTAGCTTGACAGTGGAAAGGCTGACTCCTGAGCTCTTTCAGACAATCTAGGTTTTTGATAGAGCAGTCACATTCAGTGGGGTCTTGTGGTACTCTGCCACTTTTGAAGAAAAGAGATCTGATGTAGAGCTGTGATACTCATGTTTTTCCTCTCACTGCAGGCACTGAATGCAGAGGAGGCCCGTCTTCTTCACGTCAAGGAGATCATGCAGATTGATGAGAGGAAGCGGCCTTACAATAGCATATATGAAACTCGGGAACCCACAGAAGAGGAAATGGAGGCCTATAGAATGAAACGTCAGAGACCGGATGACCCCATGGCCTCTTTCCTTGGACAGTAGTTACTAGTCATAGAAGATCACCCAAGATAAATGCAACAAATAAGTTCTTTTTGGCTTCTTGCTGATGATTGCAGATAGAAAAGTCCTTGTCTACTTTTCTTGCTTCCTAACTTTAATAAATCTTTCAGAAGTCTTGTTGTAAATTCATTCCTCTCCACACTGCAGAAACAGAAGAAAAACAAAGAGGAGGTACATTAAGTGTGGATTAAGATTTTGCTTCCAACTTTATATTAGTGATGTGGAAAGAGGCCTTGGCTCCCTACCTATCAAGAGTGTCAGAGTTTGAGGTTATTAAGCCTCAAACTTTATTTCTTCAATTTTTGTCTCCCTTTATCTAGTATTAGTATACATTTTGAAGGTAGATTACTCTTTCTGAAAACCAGGGCTTCATTTTTTTTTAATTACGAGTAACTATAATTGCATTTATTTTACAATCATTTATTTTTGCCTTCTAAGGTTTTCCTGGTCTGAAGTTAAAAAAAAAAATTATTCTACCTTGGGCTTTGGGTCACTGGAAGGAAATCTGTAGAACATGTAAATATCTTTATTCCCTATGTAAATCTGTGTAGTAATAAAACTGTTTTTCACTTGATTATAAAATTTTGATTTTTAATACATTTCCTTGTACTTTATACTTTAAATGTCTTTGAATGGAATAGCTATTTTCTAATCACCAGGTCAATATTGACTGATTCGTACTAGATCTTTTGCCATTCTGGACATAAGCCTTTAAACATAGAAATCCTTTTCTTTATCAAAGAGGATATGGTTTATGATACTATTTGTTGTTTTGATTATGGTTGCCTTTAGGTAGCAATCATGAATATTAGATTGTTTAAAACTGTAGAATAGCCTACTTTTTATAGCCAGCAGCTGTCACTTTGTAAAATTTCTAAAAAGCAAAACCTGAAGTTGGCTCCTTCTAAGAATCGCAAGAAGAGCTTCTAGGGATATTAATAACTGTTATTGTCATGATTCCTAAGTCTTTTCTAAGAACATTGTGAAGATAATACTGACAGAAAGGAATCAGTGAAAACAGCCTGTTAAAAACCTCTGACATGTCCAATGAAGGATTTATTATAAATTAATTAATTAATTAAAAATTTAAAAAACCTCTGACATGAGTACATTTGACTTTTAACAACTCACTGGCTTTTCTAAGCTACCAAAAACCACCTGCAGGATACTAGTTAAAGTCAGCATCTCACAAATAGTGGTGGTGTTAGAGTCACTGAGTAAAATTGTCAAGTACTATGAGTATATATGGTGTTTATATTTAGACTAGTATGAATTTAAAACAGCAATGCAAATAGATCTCTAAGGATACAAAAAATTGTTTTCATATTCCTATCTTGACAGGATGGTTCAACATAAAGTCTGACATTGGTGTGTCTATTTTGTATTTTATCTTTTGTTAAAGATATATAAATGATGATACTTAACTGTGTGATTTGTAGCATGATTTCTAATATTTGGCAGAAAAGTGGGTTATAAGACTGGCAGGGAAACTGGATCAGCGTCTGTGAGTCTGTATTAGAAAATGTAAGCATCCTTTAACTCAGAAAACACGCCCTAACCTTTCTGGGCCTCTGTCCCCTCCTGGTGAGGCCCAATCTACTCTGATTTTCAGAAGAATTTTTGTCTGCTGTTTCATCTTGGAAAAAGGGTAACACCTAGAACATTATTCAGATATGAGCTTTGATTTTATTATCTCAATAACTGCCTTTTGGTAGCAGGAACTATGTACTGTGATTTTTCTCTTATCTCCTCAAAGGAACTTAATGAGGTGAGTAACAGGTGATCTCCCTGTTTTACAATAAGCTCATGGAATTAATGACACCAGTTTGCTGAAGTCCAAACAGTTAAAAGTGTTGGAGCCAAGAGTCTGATTCTGAAGCCTACCCCTAGTATTTAAAGCCCCATTTTCTGAGCTAGGAAGTCAGGTGTGGTTTTTTTTTTTCTGTTTTGTTTTTGCCTTGTTTTTTTTAAGAAACAAGGTCTTGCTCTGTCTCCCAGGCTGGAGTACAGTGGCCTAATCATAGCTCACTGTAACCTCAAACTCCTGGGCTCAAGGGATTCCCTGCCCCACCTCCTGCCAGCCTCCCAAGTTGCTATGGCTGTAGGCACACACCACCACACCCAGCTAATTTTTTTTTAACTTTTTGTAGAGATTGGGGGTAGAGGGGGGCCTCATACTTTGTCCAGGCTGTTCTCCAATTCCTGGCCTCAAGTGATCCTCCCACCTTAGCCTCCCAAAGTGCTGGGATTACGGGCGTGAGCCACCTGCACTGGCCCAGGAAGGCTGTTTTTTTGCAGTTTCTTCCATCAACAGAAACCTTACAGAGGCCTTCAATGTTTAACAGGCTCACCCCAACACTTGACAATGATGCATTTGTCCCACATTCTTTGACACCCCCACACACGAGAGTTGTGAAATGCTTCTAACAAGTTTCACTATACAAAAATGAATAAACTCTTCATAAGAATTCTGAAAGAAAATATCCCCAAAATAAGAAAGAAGGCTATCTTTGAGTTTGTTTCTTTCAACAATGTTTTTCTAGTTTCCTACTTTGTGATTTTTCTCCAAAACCTCCTTAATATGGGCTTATTACCTCAAAATCATTCGGTTGAAATTTTTTAATAAAATTAAAAATCTTTAAGATGGATGATGATTCTTAGGGAATTCATCCACATGCTCTAATTTATGGGAAGGAAGAGCAAACTGCATGGGCCACAGGACACAAGCTATGGAAGCTTATCCTCAATTTTGAATATCTTAATAGAATTTAAAGCCTGTCCTACTTGCTTAAATGTTTCATTTGGAAATACAATAAGCTTCCTTCTCTTTTCCCTCAATTCCACATGGAACATGGTAACCGTCAGGGTATTATCTCCAAGCTCAAAGCCTGACACAATAAAAAATTTTATATCCAGTGCTTTGAATGTTAAAAAAGAGCTATATGAGCTTTATAGTACCTTCCATTCCTGAAATTCTAGGGTTCATCCTTTCTGGTGGACACAGTAAACAAAAAATTTCCAGCTCCGCGTATACAATGCTAAATTACTGGGAAGGCCCAGTGCGCATGCTCCCCGCTCAAGCCCGCCAGCCCCTCAGCCAGTTGCTACTGCGCCTGCGTGCGAGGAGATGCCTCGCCTATCCTGCCGGCGGGAAGCAACCGGGAGAACCCGGATGGAAACCTGGCCTGGCTGAGGTGGAGGTGGTTGCGCGTCTTGCTGATTCTCCGCGCTCGGCAGGTTCTTGCTGGGGGGTCCGACCTGAGGAACCCCCGCCTGGACTGGTTCCGATGGCCAAAAGCAGAGCCCCAGGCTGAGCGGAGGGCAGAACTGGAACCGGAAACGGGCGCCTAAAGGAAGCCCGAGCATCCCTTGGGCCTGCGCCTCAGGCTCGGAGACGCGCGGGCGGAGACCGAGCGGCATCTACTTTACCTCGCGGCTGGCGCTCTTCGCTCCGCCCGGCCGGCTTTAAAAACCTCCGTCCTTAACAATAACACCATCAGGCCCTATCAGTTAAGAGCTACGTGTTCTTTGCATGCATTCTCATAATTAAACCTCCCAACAACCCTGTAAGGTAGGTACTGTTACTCCTTTAAAGGACTGAGGCTTGGAAAGGTCCCAGCCTGTAAGTGACGAAGCCACAATCCCAGGCGTTTGCCTTGGGAGCGTCTGCGGAGCTGCCACACTCCGGCCCCCCTTCTCCTGACTTGATTTTAACTGTAAAATGCGGTGGTTAAATCCTCTGCCTCCCAAACACCAGCGCCTACCATGACCTTGCATAGGCAGTGGCTAGATAAAAGTTGCATTGTATTCGGTTTGGAGTTTTAGGTTTGCAACTCAACTTTGGTGTTCTCGCTGCTGGAGTGTATGTATTTTAGCATTCCCTGAATATTACTGTTATGTGAATGTTCACTTTTAACTGATTTTTCTCTCAGTTGTGATACTTTTTCATATCTACCCTTACTTCATAAACTTGCAGAGACATTCTACTTTGTTATATATCAGGTCTTCCATTCAACCTCTTAAGATATCTCTCAGGAGAATCATTCTTGAAATGAATGATGTATCTGTCTTAAGATAATGCATTTTGTTTGTTTATCTTTTTATTGTGGAAAATTTCCAGCCTACGTTAAAATAGTAAGAATGGTGTAATGATGTGTACCTGTCATCTAGCTTCAACAATTACCAGCTTTCAGCCCGTCTTTTATCTCCACCCCACTTTGTGTGTGTGCTCAAGTACAGTATTTCAAAGGAAATCCCGGACATCATTTCACTTGTAAAATAATTAAGTCTGTATTTCTAACAAATGATGACTTTTTAAAAACACAACCACAATACCATTATGACACCTGTTTAACAATAATTCCTTATTATGATGATGCTTTTTTGATGTTTACATTTTTTAGGATATTGTAATTCCTAAATACCACAAAGGAGCAAGTGAAAATTGTGAGGTTCTAAAACACAAGAAAG